CAGGATGAGAAGGTGAGCAGCACCCTCTCTCTCACCTCTCCTGTCCACACATCTGTCCATGGCTCTCCTGCCAGTGTTGCTCTCTTCTGCCAGGGAGGCTGAGCAGCTCTTGCTGGTGTTGGGGAGAATTCTGTGCCTAATGTCATGACTCTGGGAGTCCCCTGGTTTGTAAACAAGCAGGAAAAGCCCCCTCAGCAACCTGTGCACATTGTGCCCAGCTCAGCCAGCCGAGGCCTTGGAGTAGCAGTGGCCTGGCCAGGCTGCTGAGGACCCAGACAAGTCTGTGCCTCCCCCTGGGTGCACCTGAAACCCAGTGCTGCTGCCCCTCGGTGTCCCTGGGTCACAGCCCATCTCTCTCCTCCCAGCTTGGCCTGTGCCAAGCAAGTGGGAGTTCTGAAGGAAATACTCCTCTCCTCAGCCACGTAAACTTTGCTTTAAAATAAGTCCTTTTTGCAGTGAGGATGTGGCTTTCTGTGTGCTGCTGAGAAAAGAATGCATTTTCTCATGGGGCTGGGGGAGAAAAAAGCAATTGTGTGCTCATTGCAGCTCTGATGTCTCCTTTGTTCGTGTGTGCAGGAGGAGCAGGACCAGGATCAGCCAGGAGCTGAGGTGAGTGCTACTTGTTGAAGTTCCACCAAGTGCTGAGGAGAAGGAAAATCGGCCTGGAAGCTGTGAGGCCTGTGAGGCCCTGCTGCAGCACCCAGCAGCCTGGGAGCAGGACCAGAGGCAGAGCATTCTGCCCTCCCTGGCAGTATCCAAGGGCAGGTTGGATGGGGCTTGGAGCAACCTGGTTTAGTGGGAGGTGTCCCTGCCCATGCGGGAGGTGGGACTGGATGAGCTTTAAGGTCCCTCCCAACCCAAACCAGTCTGGGATTCTGTAATTTTCATTGGCCCATGTGTGAGTCCTCCAGGACACAGCTCTGCTGTTCCAGTCTCCTCTTTGCCTGTGACTGCTTAAACCCAGCTGCATTTCTATAAAAACATCACCTCTTTTTCCTTCCTCTCCTGTTTATCCCATCCATCCCAGTGGGAAATGGGCCTGGCTACAGGGAGGTTTGTCCCTTGCCTTTGTTTCCAGAGGTATTTGCAGCCCCAGCAGCAGTGGCTCTGGCCAGGAGGGTGGCAAGTGCAGTGCAGAGGAAGTTGCTCTCTCATTTACAGCTTTATTTACATATACACATTTGCTTCAAAGTCTTTTGTAATTACAGGCTGTGGGTGTTGCCCAGGGCTGGAAAGAAACAGATTTCTTTAAATTCTTTAATGAAGGAGGATAACGTTGTTGGAGGGAGCAGTTTGTGGTGACTCTGGGAAGCTGTCACCACATTTAGAGATCCCGTTTGGGCCATTTAAGACTCAATCCGGCCTGTTTTGAATGGTGTGATTTTTGATAATGAAAGGTGGTCAATAATGAATCATGGGTTGGTAATTTAATGTCAATAGAAGTGAGTGATAAAGGGAGGTTTAGTCCATTTTGGTAAGCCCAGCAGGAGCTCTGACACACACTGCTGGTGGGGTTGTGCTGGGAGGGGGGCCCTAGCCATGAGGGTGGGCAGTGGCTGGTGGGTTTTACAGCAAACCCCTCTGCCCCTCAGGAGGCTGAGGCTCTGCTGGACTCCCTGACAGGCCAGCCACACCCTGAGGACATCCTGCTTTTTGCTGTCCCCATCTGTGCTCCCTACACAGCCATGACCAACTATAAGTAAGTTTCAGCCTCTTCTTGGGGGGGAGGGATAGGGGTACAGCCTGTGTGCTACTCACAGAAACCTCTTCTGTTGGAAGGTATAAAGTCAAGCTCACTCCTGGCACTCAAAAGAAGGGAAAAGGTACAGTAGCTGAGCCCTTGAACCCTCCCCAGTGCTCTGCCCTTTGGAGCCAAGCAGGTTTTCACACCCTGCTTGCAACGTGCCCTGTGTTTTCCCAGCTGCCAAGATTGCCCTGCATAACTTCATGCAATCCAAAGAAGCCAGTGCAAGAGAGAAGGACCTGTTCCGCAGCGTGAAGGTGAGCAGGGGGGCTGCGGGTTCCTCTGGGCCACTCCTGACATCTAGGGGGGAAACAACTTCCAAGTGTGCTGTGTGTTTTAGCAGGGTGGGGTTGGGCAGTTGCTGCCAGGGCTGGAAATAACCATTAGGAACTGGGCCCCACCAGTAGCACTGGGTGTTGGGTTTCTGTGTTGTGTTGCTCCTGATTTGTCATCGTGTATCTGACAAAAGCATCACCTTCCTAAGTCCTCTAGTTTTGGGAGGGGAAATGCTCACTCCTGGCTGTGTGTGGAAGGGGCAGGTGGTTTAGCTGGGCATTCAGCAGGGCTGGGCTTGGCAGCAGGGTCATGCTGTGCAGGGGCTTTCCTGCTGCTCTCCCCAGGCAGCTGTTTCCACAGATGCAGTTTCCTCCTGCTCTCCTGCCATTCCCTCCATTTCCTTCTCCAGTGGGGCCATCAGTTGCAGCACTGGGCTGCCTGCCCCAGGACTGGGCTGCCTGCCCCAGGACTGTGCTACCTCTGGTACCTCTGGCCCTGCTCCTCTCCCACAGCTCCCCCTGCTCTGCCTCTTAGGACTTCCAGTCCTCAGGTGTTCGTTTCTCATTTCACCTCAGTGATCCCCAGGCTGCTGTGACAGCTACTTCTGATGGGTCACTGATCAGAAACACTGCAGGGCAGCAGCCTTCATGGGGACTTTCTGTGGGGATCTGCTAGAAAAACACAATTAATTGTTAATGACCTTGAGGCAAACAAGTAGCACCCAGGGAACTGCTGGCCCAGCCAGCCCGTCCCAGTGGAGCTGACATGTGAGAGCAGCACAGAAAACCTGTTAAGTCTTTCATGAATAAAAGATGGTGCCAGAACAGAATCCTGGCATCAGTGTCTTTTCTTTGAGGGGAGAAGTGGCAGGAAGAGGCACATCAGCCCCTGCCAGCACTCAGAGGGATGAGGAAGATGTTTGTAAATGCTTTCCTGCCATGTTCAAGTTCTCATTTTTTTAATGTTTTGTAGGATACAGACTTGTCAAGAAATATTCCTGGTAAAGTGAAAGTGTCTGCCCCTCATCTCCTGAACAGGAAAAAGAAGTGATGCTGTGGGTGGGTTTCCTGCTGGTGCCCAGCCAGAACCCTGCAGCTGGGACAGACAGACAGATGGACCCACCAGGACTGGATTTAGCTTCTGTGGTAGCTGAGAAGACAAGGACCAGTTCCCACATGGTGGTTTAGATGGACTTGATGTAAAGAGTATAAAATCCTGCAAGTAAATTGCTGGTGGTTGGTCAGGGCTCTTGGTTCTCTCTCTCATGCTTCCCGTGCTGGCTCTGAGCAAAGCTGTTCCTCAATCCCTGCAGCAGCAGTGAGCAGTGGCTTCCCAGGGCTGCTGCCTCCCTCAGGGGTCAGTGGAGTTGCTGATAGAACTCTGGGAGTTTCAGTGCAAAATGCTTCATAGAGGACAAGGCAGGATTTTGTTTTTTCCCAAAAGCTGTCCCTGGCTGCCAAGAGGTGGAAGGTGCAGGCCCAGCTGCCCAGGGCTGCAGAATTCCTGCCCCGTGGGGGTGAGGAGTAGGCAGGGAAGAACTGGAGCTCAAGGATCAGAATCAGCCCAGAGTGAGGTGTGGAACCCCAGCTGGGCTGTGACTGCACCACCCCCAGCCCTTCCTGAAGCTGAAGCTTATACAGGCGCAGGAATTGCCATCAGGAATTCTTTTGTTCTAGAAGACAAAGTTTTTAATTTTTCTTTTTTATTTCTTTTTTTTTTTTTTTTTTTTTGAGGAAAGTTTAAAACCAATTTTCAGCC